CATTCCTCATGCCCCAGGAGCCCCCAGCTGGGGTGGGATAAAATAGAAGTGGAAGGGGGCGTATTTCTATGGTAATTTGTGCTGGTGCTGAGGTGCTCTGTGTAATCAGACCCTGTACAACAGAGGGACAACAAAAGAGCCCTTCTACCGGCAGCAGAACAAACAGTAAAAAAGGAGGGAGACCAACGGAAAAAGACCGCCTGCCACCTGACCATGGCTCCCCCGGGAACAGCGTGCTTGAGCTGCCAGAGTACAAACTCCAGGAACTCACAATCCTGTTCCATTCGGGAATCAATGAACTCCTGTTTATAATCCCTGCAATTTTAAAGTTGGCATGAAATGAAAAATCACTATTCTTATTATAGATTATAGATAAAATTCATTTGTGCATATGTTAATTGTATTTATTTATTTTTTACCTCAGAATGTTTAATAAAAGAAGTCATAACGGGGCATTCCAGTGAAAATGACTGACTTCTCTCTGGTGACGTATGCAAGAATTAGACCACTTAAACCCTTCATCTTCCCTCCACTTTTGAGTGCCACGCCCACATCTCAAAACCCAATCAACAACCGATAAATAGAACCAAGTCCTCGCCCTACAATTTTTGTCTTTCTATTATCCGTTACAATTGGATGTATGTCAAAATATGGAAGAAAAGGTCTGTCACTATTTTATCTTATTTTATAGTGTTATTTTATATCCTTGCAGGTTGCATGCAAAAACCAACGAGCACGACCAGAGTAGTCTGATTCACAATTTTTTTTTATTTTATTGAATTAGAGAAAAAGACTCAAATTAGGTGAACCCAGAATACAGTAAGAACGCATAAACCCATAAAAAAGCGATAGAAATAGTACGACAGGTGCTGTATATGGATAGCAATTGCCCAAAACTTGCAGTTCGTTCAGATATCGTTGTCTTTCTTCTTTTGAGATGTGATCTAAATATTCGTGGCTTGAAACAGATGGAAAATTGTGTTGCAGTTCTATGGATGTTAGAAAACTATGAATTGTGACATATCAGAGTGAAACGAACGCTAAAGCTTAAACGCCTTGATTAAAGATTATGAGGGTAAATGAAATGTTTTTTTTTTTAAATGTGCGTGGAAAAATTATTTATAATAAATCCTGCAATATCCCATTAAAAATACAAATTGTCAATTTTGGAATAACGTGCACTTAGAACTCAAAGAAAATTTGTATTAAAGGGGTCATATGATGCTTTTTTAAAGATCATTATTTTGTGTATTTGGTGTAACAGAATATGTTGACATGCTTTAATGTTCAAAAAACACATTATTTTTCAAATACTGTACATTATTGTAGGTCCTCTATGCCCCGCCTCTCTCAAACACTTCGTTTTCTACAAAGTCCCTCATTCCGACAAGCGCAGTCTGCTCTGATTGGCCAGCTGACCCAGTGCATTGTGATTGGCCGAACACCGCAAGCACTCGTCGGAAATGTAACGCCCCTTACCATAATCGCGAGCTTCATCTTTCAAAATAAATGTAAAGACAGAGCCCGAAAGGGGAACAGAGGAAAACTTGAAATCGCATCATATGACCCCTTTAAGAAAGTAAATAAGTTAATTTTTGATTTTCTGTTGATAGCTAAAAGCATGTGCTAGAGAATTAAATGTAAACATGGACTTTAAATGTAAAGTACTGGTGCTGTTTGTCTGTGATCTGAGTTATTAGTACTGTACCTCACGCCCGGATAAACAGAGCTGAGCTCTTTCACACTGCCAGAGAGAGAGAGAGCCAGAGAATCAGGTGGAAAAAGCGAGCAGCATCAGCAATGGCAAAAGTTTTTATGCCAAACAGACGTTTGCATTCACTTGCCAATTAGTGATGTGAGCAAAATTGATTCATCAATTTTTGTCGTCATCCAGCTAAAAGATAATGTAAAAGAGAGACTTTCTTTTTTTATTTTCTTTTTTCAAGCTATGGAACAATTTGCCATTATCCATCAGAATAGCTTCTTCAGTGTCTGAGTTTAAAAGTCTTTTAAAAACTTTTTTCCCATGCTTTCAATGTTTTGTGACTGTGGTTTTCTAATGACGTGTTTATTGTGTGATTGGATCAATGTAACTGTGTACAGCACTTTGGTATACTAAGGTTGTTTTAAAGTGCTTTATAAATAAATTGGGAAAAAAAAAGAGACTTTCATACAGGAAATAAATGTCAGAATGTTGAGATTATATTCATGTGACCATGTGTATTTAGGGCACAGGGGTGTAATATGTAAATAAGAAGCCATGTGAGTTATGTCAGTTATGCCTCGGGGGTATGCAGGAATATCAGTTTACAGTAATTAAACACCATGTTCCAGTCTCTACAACACACACACACTGGTTTAATGAGGGCTGTATTTTTGTTACACATATGCATAAACTATATTCACCACATGTCAAAACTGTTAAAGGGTTCAGACAGCATGTTACGCACGGCTATAAACAACGTAATGTGACCAAAATATCATAAGAGACTGGAGGGTGGATTCTTTTGATTTAAGCAACTGCATAGCAATGCCCTAGCACCCATTTTATCCTTGATATATATTTTATCAAGTATTAAATGCATTCATAACCATCATGTTACAATATCAAATAAACAAATACACAAAATTGTCATTCACGGCACTGATTGGAAAACTTCTATTCAATCCTTCTAGCTTACACTCTGTGGGTTCTGACTGCAAAACAGAAACAAACTGAGCCAAAGAAACTTCTGTCCAAATATCTAACAGCCAAGACTTCTGAAGAAAACTATCCTTCACATAGAGGCTGGATTTACAGAGAGGGTATGTGTGAAATTGTAATTACGCATACAGTTCTTAATTGAATAGCAAACCCCAGATTTAATATATGCAAGCCAACAGAGATTTGCATATTGAAGAATTTCATATTCATAAAGAGTAGCCTAGCAACTAGCACAAAGCCAGCGAGAGATAGCCATGTTGTAAAAAGAGTCTATAACAGAAAAAAGACTGAATAAGAAGATCGGGTTAGTTGGAAAATGTGAAAAAAAGAAAGCAAAAAACAGGTGCTATAAGAACAAACCACACAAAATAAGAGATACCTTCATCAACATCGGAAATATAGTCCTCATTAAGCATTTCAGGCACATTGGCTCTATGAACTGTGTAATTTAAATGAAAACTGTTACAAATAATATGTAAATGAACAAAAATTAAATTAAATGTACATAAATAAAGAGAAAAAAATAGACCACAATAATATGAAAACCTGTTTACCTTCATCATCTGACATGTCCAAAACCTCATTCATTGTTTCTGGAACATTCATTTTGTGTTTCTCCATCACAGTCTAGAAAAAGAAAAAAAAAACAGCAATAAGTGATTTGTTGATGTGGCATCATTTTGCTTTGCTTCAAATATAAAGCATGTATTATATTATTAGCATACAGCATTGTTTTTTCCCTGCTATCTGTGACTCAGAACAGACCTGCAACCAACTTTTGTGTTGCGATCCACTGTCTGAGAACCACTATACTAAAGCACAATAACACCTGGTGTACGGTATTCTGCAGAATAGAATGTGTTATGACACAAAGTCCCTCACCACAGTAGTGTGCGTCTCCTCTGTCACGACTTTGAGCGTGTCGACTACAGAGATGTAACCCAGGCGCCTGGCAATAGCTAAGGCAGTGTTTCCATTCTGTAGGTTAAGGGAAAGGAACAATATTAAAGGAAAATAAATAAATAAATGCATAAATAAATAATGTAAAGACAAAGTATAACATTTAATTAACTCAATACAATTTTGGCAAATGTTTATCATTCAATAATTCTGTTATTTGTTTACTGTGATGCCTGTAATAGATGTTTTAGAATATTAAATCATTATTATATGCAATTTACTACATACACCATTTTATATAATATAATATAATGTAATACAATTATACATAAACATATAATTCTGGAAGAAAAAAAGGCTAAATCAATGCAGTGGTAACAAACAAGAGTGACATGTTCAAAATTAATGAACTAGATTTTTATTTTTCCTTCAGTAAAAAAGTGAGTAATGCATGCCAATGCAAAACAAAATTGAAATGGAAAAATTCCCAGAAAATTGCAGGATTTCCATGACTGCAGGCTGCCTGCTCTTTCGATGTAAGCCTATGGGATTTTTTCACAGAAAAGGTCTGAAAGCTCAGAAAAGAAACAGCAAACGTCTCCTTAACATGACTTGTGCATCTTGTTTGGAAGAGGTGCAGTAATTCAGACTGTTGTGACACACTCACCACTGTCAGCTCATTAGGAGAGGCTCCGTGCTGCAGCAGAAGGTTAATGATGTGTGTGTGACCCTGCTGAGCAGCCTGATGAAGAGGTGTGTATCCATTCTGAACATGAGACAAACTGAGTTTAAATCTTTATTTTGGACCACCAGTAATCAGAAAAGACTGATCTGTAACAAGAGATGTTTAAAGAGATGTAGTCTCAAGCATACTGCAAACTGCTTTCTGTGAGCATTATTTCATTTACCTTGGTTTTGGTATTGACTTTAGCCTGGTTCTTCAAGAGGAAGTGCACCATCTTTATATTGCCATAGTGACAGGCCACATGCAGGGGTGTATATGCCATCTGAACCAGAACACAGAGACACACATTACTCTTAGACTTCTTTTTCAAGTCAAGCACATGAATTATGCACACATTAAAAAGCCATAGTATATTCATCTCTATACATACATCTCTAATAACACAATCACACTTAACCATCTTAATGGGCTTTTCACATATTGATAAAAATTGATAACCCACAGTCATTTTTAGAGATTTGGAGATTTTTGAGATTTAGTCATTCATTTTGGATAGTTTGTACACTTGGTGTGCATATGAAACTTCACAGAAGTCTCCAGATCATTCATATGGGATGTTCTGTAAAGCTTTACTTTTCTGTACTACAGTAACTAAGGGGGCGGAGCTTAGCGGAAGTGTCAATTCACCACTGGAATTAATTTCTCGCTAAATGCCACACATGAGTATTAATGCACTTGTTCTTTCTCATTCCTCTGCCTGTGGTCAGAGAGGGAGTGCTTTCTGTGGGTCATTGTGCTGTAGAGCATTGATCTGTGTGCTGCTGCCTGACTCATTCTCTCACAGTCTCTCCAAGAGCCACACTGAATGACCTTGAACAGGGGCCGCTCTATGTTTATACATGATTGACCAATGAGGGGCCTGGCCAGACATAGCGTGGGGAGATGTATGTGTCACACATCTATCCATCTACCCGTCTGCCTGTCTGTCTGTTCTTCTACCTATCTGTTTGTTTGTTTGTCTGTCTATCTGAAATTGAATTTACCTACATCTGGGGTTGGTAAGATATTTTAATATTTTTTGAAAGAAGTCTCTTATGCTCACCAAGGCTGCATGTATTTGATCAAAATCACATTAAAAACTGTAGTATTGTTAAATATTTTTACAATTTAAAGTAACTGTTTACTATTTGAATATATTTTAACATTTAATTTATTCCTGTGATGCAAAGCTGAATTTTCAGCATCATTACTTGTCTTCAGTGTTACATGACTCTTCAGAAATCATTCTAATAATAACTTGCTGCTCAAGGAACATTTCTTATTATCAATGCTGAAAACAATTGTGCTGCTTAAATTTTTTTGTGGAAACCATGATGATTAGAATTCAAAAGAACTGCATTTAGTTGGAATAGAAATGTTTTGTAACATTATAAATATCTTTACTGTAACTTTTGATCAATTCAATGCATCCTTGCTGAACAAAACTTGTGATTTAAAAAAAAACAAAAAAAAAACACTGACCCTAAACTTTTACACTGTAGTGTGTGTGTGTGTGTGTGTGTGTGTGTGTGTGGGGCCATTACCTTAGTCTCTGGGTCCACTGTGGCACCATGATTAACCAGCACTTCTGATACATTGACTTTATCCTCTTGAGCCGCCAGATGAAGAGGGGTCAGTCCACTCTGACACAGATATTCATTAACCAATTTAGTGACATAACCAAACAGATGTGACACATCATGCATAAATCAAGCATCCATTAATCAGTGTAGGTCACTCTTACTGACTAAGCTGACTGTAGCCATAATTTGACACTGTGACCTTGAAGTGTATTAAGCAATAAATATGGCTAAAATATTTTTGTTTTCAGTATAATGTTAATAATTATGCTACTACTTTCAATAGCATGTTAAAGTATATGCACAAGTCAAAATTCAAGGATTTTAAGATTACAAGGACTTCACAGATATAATTTCCTGTTACATATTTCACTACCCAAAAGGAAAATGTCACATAAACTAAAAAATATTATAATAATGTAGAATTGAGGAATAGCATCTTAAAAGAATTGAGCTCTTTTTTTTTACCTTGTTTCCCAGATTGATGGCAGTTTCACGGGCGATCAGGAGCGTGACCATGTCAACGTTGCCCTCCTGGCCTGCCAGGTGGAGAGGACTGATGCCCTGGCGTGTTGCGGCATTGGTATCAGCCCCATACTCGAGCAGTGTGGTCGCTATCTCCATCTGGTTCTTCTTGGCAGCTATATGCAGTGGCGTATAGCCATTCTGGGAGGGGTCATAATATATATTTGATCTATATATAAATATATATATTTTTTCATATATATATATATATATATATATATGTATGTACAAACAATAAAAATATATAAAGATATACATTCAATATTGACAAAGGACAGGACTGAAACATCAAAATTTATATTTTTTTTGTCTAGTCCTACACAGCACTAACTTGCACGCTGCCAAACCACTATAACCACACTAAAACCTTAGATTTATGACATTTCCAAAACAGAAACATGTTGACAGCAGTGCTTTGCTTCTAACCTCACAGACTGAGTGGAACAATGGTTGAAAGGTGGAGAAAAGCAGTCTGAGTGCAAAAAAACAATCTTGTTTCTTAACAGCTAAGGTGTCAGCCAGTGAGGTCAATGAACAGCGGTCCCGTCCAAACCGCAAGTCAGTTAGTGTTCTCCACATGCCAGATCTAACTGTTCTTTGTGGAGGATCAAAGGCAGTATCTGGGTCACTGTATTTGTTTAGGGTTTACATTGAGCCCTTTCAGGGTGGACAAAACAACGCAAACGGTTTAAAACCGTGAATACTTGGACTCTCTATTCAAGTTCATACAAAAGGAAACAGGGGAAAAAACATGATGGATACAATTAAACATAGGCTTGTGTGTTAAGACTATGAGAGAACTGATTCTGTAAATTTCCAGATCTCTATGCTCTGTTCCAAAACATAGTGAGCGGCCTATGTAGATGACATTATATGACATCGTAGGCCTACTCTTGACACGAATGCTGTAAAAAAAAATTATGCTACCTCTAAAGAAACTTCTTTTCGACAAATTCTGAGAAAAAAATGAATCACACACAGTCTAATTCACAGAAAAGTCATTTACAGAATGTACTGCACAAGCTCAGTGAAAAAACAAACCCAAGATGGACTAAGTGAGAGATACATACTATATAATTCATTCAATATGGATAAATAATGATTAAAAAAATAGGACAATTTACACAGTATTTCTTGGGTCTCTTAACATTGTCGCATCATTAGCTTAGCCACATGCTAACATCAGTCCCTACTGTCTCCTGTACAGTGTGATATTTTGTGAAACACAAGTTACTGCCTATGTTGATGTTCCAAATTGGTTAGGCTGCTTCCTTAGAAGGCCTAGTTGCCTATGTAGGCAGTAGATAACGAGGCAGCTCTCTAGGTTTTAGAACAGAGCCTACAGTACATTTTTATTACAGATGAATCAGACCACATTTTTTTCCATTGATGATGTTTTCAACGCAACTAGCTAGAACTTGATCATTTTTATTTTTATTTTTTAGTTTGCAATCATTTCCTGCAAAGATTACAGAACTGACTGGCAGATCTCAGAGAAATCATGACAAACCCCAGAAGCTTCGGTGACCTGAAACAGGACTGATATTTATTTTAGGCATAATTCACTCATTTATTTATTCCTCATGTCATTCCAAACCTGCATGACTTTCTTTTTTCTGTGGAGCACAAAAGGAATTATTTTGAAGAAAGGTCATGCTGCTCTTTTCCATGCAGTGAAAACATTAAGCGACCAATGACTTTCAATTTCCAAAAAGAACAAAATTTTGTGTTCTGCTGCAGAAATAAAGTCAAACAGGTTTGAACTGATTTATAAATAAGGTAAGTAGATAAGTAAATAATGACAGAACTTTCACTTTTGGGTGATCTATCCCTTTAAAGGAATAGTTCACCCAAAAATGAAAAATTACCATCCAAGAAGTAGATGAGTTTGTTTCTTCATCAGAGCAGATTTGGAGAAATTTAGCTTTACATCACTTGCTCACCAATGGATCCTCTGCAGTGAATGGGTGCCGTCATTAAGAGATGTTCTGATGAAGCAACAAACTCATCTACATCTTGGATGGCGTGAGGGTGAGCAAACTTTCAGCTTTGGGTGAACTACTGTATTCCTTTAAGTGTCAAAACAACTTCAACCACCAAGTACATCAGTTTTCAAGAACTTCCTTTTTTTCAAAGCAATAAAATGTGTGCAAGCTTACCATCCTCTGTGGTTGCATTGGGTGGACTAGAAGTAAAATGACGAAAATGATCAAGAATGTGGGTGGAGGTGGTTTTGTGTGACCATGTGTGCAGCCGTGTGGTTTGGAGCCATGTCTCTTCATTTGTGTGTGTGTGTGTGTGTGTGTGTGTGTGTGTGTGGTTGCCTTTGGATGAGATTTGCATGTACTAGTTGAGAAACTGTGGTTCGCAAGGGTTTCCTGATACCTTCGCTGCAGCGTGCGGAGATGCTCCTTGGTCCAACAGAAGGAGGGCCACTTTCTGGTTATCGTAGTGTGCGGCAACATGCAGTGGTGTTAGTCCACTCTAAAAACACACACAAATACACATAGCTATTATTGGCCAAGAGCTCAAAGGTGGGGTGTGTGAAACAGGTGCCATCATAAATCAATCAGCTTTTACATCTGGACATTGGAGAAGAGTACATTTAGCCAGAACACATTAGTGAATGAAACCTCTGGAACTGGAACTGATAGTATGTATCCTGATAGCATACAAATGCCTCTTTTCATCTGGAAGATGTCTTTTTTTAAAGCGTTCACTAGCTGCCAGGATTTAGAAAGACATTCAGCAGAGGTTTTACAATATTTATAACACAGAATGTGTGTAAAACAACTTCTTAAAAGACTTATTAGTTAAAACATGTTTTAAAAAAATAACATGTATGGATTTGCAGATGATCTCTGCACCATAAGTGTGCTTATATAGTGACTACATTTTTAATGGTAATAGGGAAATGTATTTATAAACAGTTCTACAAAATATTAGCATTACGCACATTATGTTGTTTATATGTATTAAAGACCCTATGAATATTTTAAATGCATACAGCTGCTTTTAATTTCTTGAGGTTTTAATGGTGCGGTCGCACTTGATTTTGTGTTTCATTCACTTCCATTCATACACATGCAAATGCACGAGAGCTGGAATGAGAGTTTACTTTAAGTGTGAACTATATGATAACCAACATTCATTAATGAGTGTACATCTGTCTGTATGTCTTTGATGCACATATATTATGTCAGACTGAAGATTAGCCAGCATAAGCATGCTATTTCTTCTTTTGTGTTCAATTTAATTGGCTGCAAACTGAGTTGAGAAACAGATGAAACCCTTTTTAGCCACTATACAAAGAATTGTGATTAAATGTGTCCAATACCCATGTCTCTCATCCAAAATCCCTCCCTTTCAACAGATGCTTAGAAAGAAAAATTAATGCTTAATTTCTTACCGTGGTCATGTTATCATACCAGAAACCGAAGGATGGCCGTGATGACAAACTCATACCATACATCTTGTACATTATAGGTAGTAATCATCAATCTATAACCATTAGTGCAAATAGATACTTTTACCTTTCCAGCTGCATCAGGTGGCGCTCGCTTCTGTAGCAGTAAGTTAGCAACTTCAATCTTCCCGTATTTGGCTGCAACATGCAGGGGAGTGAATCCTTTCTGCAAAGACAAACAGTTCATACTTAGAAATAAAGAAAAACATGTACACTGACTTAAAAAAAAAGAAAAACCAAAAGAAAAAAAAAAAGAAATTTACACACTAGAATTCAGAGACAAGTCATCCATCGTAACATACAAAACTGTTGCAACTTTTAGAAAACAAGTCATTTTGGGTGGGGTTGAAAAATCGCAACTGACATTGGTAAAAAAAAACTGATCTGTGTTGCACAAGTTTCCTTCTGTTAAGTAATACTAAAGAATAAACTTCCGTCCAGCTAGAGATGAAGCACTGCTGTAACCAATCTGGTTTTACACAAGGCAGAACGTTTGAACACAGCAGTGGCCTGCTGTTCTGGTCAGACAAAGCTGATCTATCAAATGCATTAACAAGCTGAAAATCATACATATATATTTATATATATATATATATATATAT